GGCGGAGCTGGGCCCCAAGGGGAAGTGACATTTTCAGTTTTATCTCAGAGGCACTGCTCCCTTCAGCACTGAAAAAAATCTGTGCTAGAACCTGCATTTTCATTACAGATATCTGAATATTCAATATGTCATTTAAATTAGCCTCGGATCTGTTCCCACAGCCACCCCTGATGAGCCTGGTGAGGATAAACCACCCAGCTGATATCTCACACCAGGTTGTTTTGTCTAAGCCCAAAGTTTCTTTGCCTTGTGAAATTAAAACAACCCTTCCTGCTTCAAGTGACTTGCACTTTTTCAAAGGAATTTCATGCACAAGGACAATTCTGCAGCACTCCTGTTGTACATAATGACCCAGAGAGCAATCTGCTTAACTGCAAGAAAACCCTCTCTTCCCCCAGAATTTGGGAGGACTGGCTTTTCATTCTGTTTTGGTGGCGAGTGCAGCATCACAAGTGGAGACAGACTGGCATTTGTAGTCTGGGAGGGATTTTAATAGAAGTAAACATTCATTTTAAAGAGAAAGAAGAAGGACTCTAAGGGAAAATAAACTTTCTGGGCTCAAAGAACTCAAAGAAAGACAAAGAAAGGGCCTTTGAAATCTGCAGGGTGTCTGTGTCCCACACCCTACCCCCAAAACATACCCATGTCTCCTCCTTTTTTCCCCCCTCTCCCCTAGCCAAGTTAACATGACCCCAAACATAATTTGGATGTTTATACAGAGCATAATTTCACACCACGTTCCCAAAGGCAGCAGGAATAGGACTGAGCCCAGCTGGGCACCTGCTATCCAGGGCTGGGCTCAGCAGGTTTCCACCCACAGGCACAATTGTTCTCAGGACACCCAAGCAACCAGTGACAGGAGGAGATGTCCTTGGGTTACAGCAGAGCAGGTTTGTTTTGACTATTAGGAAAAAATCTTCATGGAAAGGGTTGTCAAACAGCCTGTAACAGGCTGCCTGGGGTCCCCAGTGGCACCTGGGGGCACGGGTGACTGGTGGGCCTGGCAGTGCTTTGGGCAATGCTTGACTTGATGAGCTTAGAGGGCTTTTCCAACCTAAAGGATTCCATGGCAGTATCCATGACACTCCCAAAGCCCCAGTCACACTGCTGCAGACTGTGCCTACAAGATCCCAGAGCACATCCCAGCCCAGCCAGGAAAGAGATACCCCTTTTGGCTCAGACCCTGGAACATTTCAAGTGGGGTGAGGGCCCACCAGGCTCAAATCCACCCTGTCCAGGTGTGTGCTTTGTCCTCTGTCCTCTGCCAGTGCCTCCTGTAGGAACAGCTCTCATCTATAGGAATAATTGTGTATAGCTTGAAGAAGAGACTGCAAGTCAGTGCTCTTTGATATTTTAGATGAGTGGTCTCTGCACCAGAGTACTAAATAGGAGACAGACCCTGTCTTGGCCTCTTTTCATGTAGAAGTGCCTGTTACCACCCTGATTTAGTTCCACATCCCAAAATGAGGAGAGTTGTTCCAACCTGATGGACTCCAAGATGTATTTCACCAAATTCCTTCTTCAGCTGAGCTCACCTCCTACAGAGAGCCTTTCATCCTGGATAAATGGGAAATCAATCAAACAATATTATGAATTGTGAATATCCATTATCTTAATTTTGAAACTGAAAAAAAGAAAAGTACTGAGTTGCTTCTTTTCTGACTACCTTAGCACTTCTAATCTAAAATGTTTCTGGATCTTTTGCCTAGGTTTTAACTTGTATTGAAGAAGGAAATTGCTGTACTTTTACATTATGAATACTTAACTTTAGAATTGTTTGTCTGGAAACCCTTTCAGAACTGGAAATTTATTGCAGTGGATGCTGAGGAACCAATTCAGAGATTCATATTTGGCACAAATAGTGTCCCAGAGGAGATGAAAATGGCCTATATACTCAGGGAAATGCCTGTGTACAGGGAATGGACAGAGATTTCCATCACACATCTGTTGTGCTCCACTTGGTCAAACGACCACCTGGAAATGTGACCCTCTGGCCTTGCGTGGGCCACTGTGTCCTCCTGCAGGACACCTGCCCAAGGCACATGGCTGATCCAGAGCCTGAAGTTTGAAGGAGCATTTTTAAGAAAAGGTTTGAGCTCAAAGTGATTAAAAACAATAAATAGTTGCTGTGTTTCTGTTGGCATGAAACTCTCACCATGCTAGGGGTGAGGGGGGTTAGTGGTCCAGCAGCAGTTCTCCATTCCCTCTGATCTTTGATCCCAGCCCTAACGCATTTCTGGGGGCTGTGCTTTGGGCCATGTAAGGGTTTGGCCCCCGTACAAGGGTGGCTGGATGGATCCAGCCTCCCAGAGCAGCCTCCAAAATGTGTGCAGCTCAGGCTCATGTTTGGATTTCATCCACTTTAGAAGTAAGAGCCACCCACGGAGATTTGATCTAATTTTAAACTTTCCAGGAGTGTTGGGAAGATTTGACAGGGATTCGCAGCTGGGAGCTGAAGTAGGTGGATAGAATATACAGATGAGATCCATGGCCAGATAAATAGGATCCTAGCAGGGAAGGCCCATCATGACATAAACACATATGCTCCTTAACAATTAAATATTCGCTGGGGCTCTCTTTGTCTATCTGATCATTGATGCAATTATTGGAACACTGAAAAACCAAAGGTGGTGAAGCAGAGAAAAGCAGAGATGCCTGGTTATCGTGGCTCAGAAATTACCTGAAGCATTCCCAGACAGCCAAGGAAAAGCTGGGGAGTGCCCACTGGAAAGCAGCTTTTGGAAGGACCATGGGATGAAGGCTGGATGAAGAAAGACTTGTTGCTTTTGAGTTTCTGCAGGTTTCTCATAAACAGAACTTAGTGTTCCTGTTTATGTATCTACTCCTTGTGTATGCTTCAAACCCATAACTCATCGCAAATTAACTTTTTGGCAGGAAAAAAAGAGCATCTTGACTGTTTCTAGGTTGTCAAAAATCCTTTCCTCAGGGTTAAGCTGTCTTCAGTACAATTGCCTGTAGAATTTTCAATGCTCAGAGACCTGCTAGACAAAGTCCACCATGCACGAAAAGGAGAGTCTCTGTCCCAAACAATTTACATTGTGAATACAAGAAAAGGAAAGCAGGCAGATTGGGACCTGCTAGAGACAGAAATAGCAAGCAATCCACATCTGCCAACTGCTTAACTCCCCTTGCCAAGGGTTCTGTAGCAGCTGTATCTGAAATGTTTCTATCAATCCAAATTATTCTCCCCACTTCCTCTCATGCAATCATTGTGATTTTATCTTTCTTTTTCCTCAGTTTTGCTGAATTTTGTCTGCTGTTCTGTCCTTAGCATTTTGATCATTTCCTCTGATCTCCACAGACCATATTTCTGGTTTTTTTCCCAAGACTTTGAGATCCAGGTTCCAACAGCTTAAGTTACAGAGATGTCCAGACAAAAAATGGACATCTTCCAGCACTATTTCTGCAGAGTCTGTTACGATCTGAGTCTGCCGCACAGATTCTGGATAACAAACCTTTTATGGTGATGCTGTTATATACGTGCAGAGCCTGGGTCAGCACAGCAAGTTCTTTAGCTCACCTGTAAGTAGTCCTACGCTGGTTTGGGTTGGAAAGGATTTTAAGAATCATCTCATTCCACTCCCTGCCATGGGCAGGGACACCTTCCCCTGTCCCAGGCTGCTCCAAGCCCCATCCAGCCTGGCCTTGGGCACTGCCAGGGATCCAGGGGCAGCCACAGCTGCTCTGGGCACCCTGTGCCAGGGCCTGCCCACCCTGCCAGCCAGCAATTCCTGCCCAATATCCCCCACACACCTCTTGTCTTTCAATTGACTGCCATTCACCCTCATTCTGTCACAACAATCCCTGCTAAAAAATTTGTCTTTGCAAGAGACAGACCCCAGCCCGTGACATGTGGTGGGCCATGGTGGAAGCCTCTCCCTCTGTCAGTGCTGCCATAGCATGGTGTCCTAAGGTCCTCTCTGGCAGCTCGCAGCCCCACAGAAAGCGAGAGAGACCCTACAGAAGAACAGTTTTGTTGGATGGTTTAGCAGAGAGGCTGCCAGGTGGAACCCGGCCAAGAGGCAGCAGACCGTGAGGGACAGGCCCACACCATTTAGACAGCAGCAGTGCCCAGGGGAAGGGCCGGGCCGAGGGAAACCCCCTCACAAACACACACAAAAGTACACTCACACACACACAAAACGCACACATCCACACTCACAGACGCACACACACAAACACACACATCCACACTCACACACAGGCCCAGCGCAGCCAAGGTCAGAGTCCAATTAGGTACTTTATTACTCATGGAGGCCTTGTCTGGCTTTCAGGGCTGGAAGAATGGCGCTGTGCGCACGTGAACCCGGGGCTGCGAGCGATTTGCATTTGAAGTGAGTCACTGATCCCATTCCCAGGGGCTTTACGTGATGCATGGCTTAGCAGAGGGGCAGTTTGGTTTTATTTACGGCCGGGACTTGGCACACGCTGGCGGCTCCGCATTCACCAGCAGCTCTGAGGGCATCAGCCTCGTGAGCCACTCATTTCCAAACGCCACCTAGAAAGTTGGTCTGCACAGGAGTGTTAGTCCCTTAGGACTTCCCAGCCCCAAAACCTCATCATCCCCTCCATATCTGCCACTCTGAAAAGCTGAAGGCTCTCCTGAGAAGTTCTGCCATTCTGAGCAGAAGAGATCCCAGAATGGTTTGGGTTGGGAGGAACCTTAAACTTCACCCTGTTCCACCCCCTACCACGGGCAGGGACACTTTCTGCTATGCCAGATTGTTCCAAGCCTGTCCAAACTGCCCTTAAACACTCCGAGGAATGGGGAATACCACCAATCTCAGTCAGTAGGAGCCGAGGAGACAGCAAATGATAATACAGGTCAATCAAACAGTCCCAGGAGATGCAGCTCAGAGCCCACCAGTAACAAGAGGTTGACTGAGGACAAGGGTGGAACCTGGATGTGGTCAATGCATGAAAAACCTCAACAGTAACAGGGAGCATAACAAGAGGGGGAGTGAGAGAGCTTAAAAATATAGGTTTATTTGCTTCCTAAATATGTTTGTGCTGAATCAGATCCATGCTCTCGCCAGTCTCACATGTGATGGAAACAAATCAAGTGCAGTCAAAGAGTTGAGAAGATGAGTTCAGCAAGATGAGTACTCAATACCTGGAAATACAAAGCTGTTGTTTTAGATGACTGAAATGCCTGAAATAAGAGACAGACACCACAGGAAAAATAATCATTGCTTCATCAGATGCCTGGGCACATGGAAAAGTGCCCCCTAATACCAAACTCAGCTGAAAGGAAAGTTACTTAGATACCAAAGTAAGACTCTGAATCATGCAGGGAATAAAAAAATACCAAGGGGAGCATAGAAACTCTCTGCAAGGATGAAAACTGAAATTGCCTTCTCTTAGTGGCCTAAACAGGACCCACACTTTTTAAAATTCATTCCAGCTTGCAGTACTTGGGCAGCTGAAAATGCAGAAATCCAGGACTGGCTGTCACAGGAGGAAGGGCTTCTCCTCCCAAATCTAAAACCATGTGGAAATACAGAGGCAGAAACCTGATACACTCAGTCCTGGAGCCTGGCCAGCAGCACAGGCTCCAGGACTGAGCACATCTCCCTGATGCAGACCGGTCTCCTAAGCTTAAAAAATTATAAAGTGCTCCGTTTGCTTGCGGAATTTCTACCTGGAACACTAATTTGGAATATTATCAGTTACACATGTTTGAGGGAGTCTGGTTGTTTAATAGACATCTGTTCTTTCTGGCATAGAGACAGAGGTTTCCCACATCTAGCTGCCTCTTTCAGGATAGCACTGCCTGGGACAAGATCTCAAGAACTGTAACCTTGCACTAGCTCAAACCCTGGCAAAAGCAATCCACTTCTCATATGGTGGACCACCTCATTCTGCAACTGGTGCAGCCCTAAAAAGGGCTGCTTAGATCTACCCAACTGCTTAAATGCACAATGAGCTTTTTCTAAGTCTGACCTTCATTGCATATCCTCAGCATCTGAAAAATGCTGCCTGAACACACCCCAGAGTGACTGTGTCATAAAGGCTGGATCAGCATCCAGAAGCCTGAGTGCTCCAAGTGTCATGAACCTGCAAAACTGGGCAGGAGAACAGCCTCACTCTCTATCGCTGATGCTCTCCAATTTTCCTTGGAATCAGCCCATAATGCAAATTCTGTACAGTTTTAGGTGTTTGGTAAATGCTGGCTGTAATATCCGCATCTCCATCTATTAATGTAATTATTGTCCAGTGTTTGTGTGTGTACTACCATTAGGACAAGGGGTAGTGGATTCCCACTGCGAGAGGGCAGGGCTGGATGGGAAATTGGGAAGGAATTATTATCTGTGAGGGTGGTGGGGTCCCATTCCTGGAAGTGTCCAAAGCAAGTTTGGAGAGGGTTTGGAGAAACCTGGGATAATGGAAGGTGTTCCTGCCCATGGCAGGGGTTGGAACAAGGTGCGCTTTAAAGGTCCTTTCTAATCCAAACTATTTTACAATTTCATTCAAGCTGTCTGCCCCATCACAGTCCTTATAATGAGAAAAAATATTTGAATCGTTAGTGAATCCCACAGGGGATGTTTTGGAAGAGAAATTTCTTGATTCATGTAGGTAGAGAAAAAAAAAATTGGGTTAGGGAAGGTGCCAGTGTTGGGTTGTGTGTTAATTTGTTTGGTCTTTTGGGGTTTTCTTAAGGTTAAGAATCCCTAGGTGTACCTAACTTCTGTAGGATCAGCTGAGGGAGCTGGGGTAGTTTAGTCTCAAGAAAAGGAGGCTCAGAGGAGACCTCATCACTCTCCACAACTCCTTGACACGAGGGAGCAGCAAGGTGGGGGCTGGTCTCTTCGACTGTGGCTGAAGTGAGAGGACCAGAGGAAATGGCCTTAAGCTGAGACAGGAGAGATTCAGATTAAATATTAGAAAATATTTTTCCACTGTTAGACTGGTAAGGCATTGGATCAGTTTGCCCGTGGGGCTGGTGGAGTCACCACCCCTGAAAGGTGTTTGAGAGGAGCTAGGATCTGGGAGATGTGGTTTAGGGGTTACAGTGGCAGTGCTGCGTGGGCAGCTGGGCTTAATGATCTTAAAGTGTCTTCCAGCTTTGATGATTGTATGATTCTGTGATTCTGTTTTGTCTAAAAAGCCACACAGATCTAGGGAAAGAAATGTGGCACTGGCGTTCTTCCTGGTACCCACCAGTGAAGACCCCAGGAGATCTCTGAAAGGAACAGAGCCCCTCCAGGTGAGTGCAGGTGTTGGCAGATGTTCAGCCTCTGCAGACCCCGAGAGATCAGACCCTGGAGGCCTGGCTGTCAGCAGGGCAGCGTGAAGGAGCAGGTGCCTCACACACAGGGTTCATCACTCCAGCTCCACAACGAGCACTGGGTCCCCCCAGGGAAATGAGCCTTCACTGACCCCGAGCTTGGAGCTGAAGGGAGCTTTTCCTAATAATTTCTGAGAACTTTGGTGGTTCAGGAATACTGTATGGTGTACAAGTGTTATATGGGGTTTTGGTTCAGGCACAAACCTCAAGCTCTCGAGACTGCCTGGAGGGAAGCTGTGCTTCCTGGGGGTGATAATTTATCCAGAGCATCTCTGCAAAGCTATTTAGTGCATACTGCAGAGATCTGGCAGCCACTGATGAGTATTGTGGCCTGAGTAATTCGCCTTGCTGCTCTGGACCTTCATTTTTCTCCCCACATTTCTTACTGCTGGGTGATCCCTGCCAGATTCCTGGCTCTTTATTTAGTGACTACCTGTAGAGCACCTGAAAAGATAAGATTTTGATCTATTTTAAGGTCTCCAAGATCTAGTCTTTTTCCCATACCAAATAAATCTCTGGAATAAATTCTGCTCTATTATGCAAGGCACTCTACAGCCATTTCTTTATCTTCCCTTCACAGTAAGCAGCAGGAGTAAAGAAAAACACAGAGAAAACAAATAAGCCCTGCCAGAGCCAAATGGGCTTCATATGGAGTTAATTCTTGTTTTGTTGTTGCACACACTGCAGTGATTTCTGCCCTCCTTTAATTTATCTCCTTCCCAGCCAAGCACGGGCTTGCACAGATGCAGCTGAAAGTGGAACAAGGCCCATGGTCCATAAACACTTCACCCAAGATTAAAAGTACTCCATAAATGCAGAGTATGTTGTTGTCAGCTGTTTCCAGATGAGGGAAAAAAATGGCTTATCCTTCAGCTTGGTCAAGAAAAAGATCATATTGCACCACCAGACTCTGGAAGTCTGGTTTGAAACAAACCAAGAATGCTTTGAGATACAAAGAAAAGTATGCTATCTTATTATCTCTGGTAGCAAATAGGGTTCAGATGCAACAGTGTCTGACACAATTTATTCAAGATTTCTTCTCCTTTTTTTTTACCATGGAACACAGAGGATTTTATTAGCTAATTCCTTGTCTGGTCTTTACCTCTTCTAAAAATTGAAAACAAGGACTCTTCCTCCCACTACCAGTTTGCTGCCAAGGCAGAGCAGTTCATTGTCCTAGTGAAGAGCTGGTCTTACCTTCAGATGACAAATACCCAGCAGTGGGTAAAAAATCAAGCGAAAAATGTTGTTTTCTTGCGCTGCTGAAGTAGCCTTGGTCAAGGGAGCTGGGAAGGGGCTGGAGCCCCAGGAGGGGCTGAGGGAGCTGGGAAGGGGCTGGAGCCCCAGGAGCGGCTGAGGGAGCTGGGAAGGGGCTGAGCCTGGAGAAAAGGAGGCTCAGGGGGGACCTTGTGGCTCTGCACAGCTCCTGACAGGAGGGGACAGCCAGGGGGGTCGGGCTGTGCTCCAGGGAACAGGGACAGGAGGAGAGGGAACGGCCTCAGGCTGGGCCAGGGCAGGCTCAGCTTGGATATTGAGGAAAATTTCTCCATGGGAAGGGCTGTCCAGCCCTGGCACAACTGCCCAGGCCAATGGTGCAGTCCCTATCCCTGGCAGGATTTAGATGCTGTGTGGATGTGGCACTTTTGGACACAGGTCAGTGATGGGTTTGGCAGGGCTGGGGATGGTTGGGCTTGATGATTTCTAAGGGTTTTTTCATCCTAAACAACTCTGTGGTTCCGGAACCAAACCATTGGGGAACTCCGTTGTGTTAAAAAGCAGAGTGAGGATTTGGTGCTGTTCAACACTGAGCTCCCTGTTGCCACATAAGAGACACACAAAAGAAACCCTGTGCATGCCTTGGGGAAATGATGGCTTTGTTAGGTAAAGGCAATATGTAATTGGCAATAGGTAAGACTCTTGCTTTGGGAAGTTCTCTTTGTACTATGTGGAAATTGCTAAAGGTTTTGGAGCTGTTCCAAACACTTACACTTAAGATTTTAACTCAGGCACAATTTGGGTGAGATGGAGAAACCTCAGTTAAATTTCAAAATGTTGACTATTAACATCCTCTATGTTTAAGTTTGATCTAGACGATGCTTAAATTTTCATCTTAAGCATTTAAGTTGGATGTAAAATTTTGCTCTTATAAGAGCTGGAGAGTTGACTGTGATGGGTGGGGTTTTGTGAGGGTTATTTTTTGAAAGACATAAAAACTTCAGCATAGAAACTGCAGTGGGGTTATCAGGTGAACTGTTTTTTTTTTTACTATTGGGTGTATCAATAGGTTGATGGATACTTCAGCTCCACAGCCCACACTCCACAGGATGGTGTTAACTTAGACAAGGTCCATGCATGGACCTTCCCCCTTCTGCCATGCCAGGGCTGAAAGCAACCACACGTTCCAAAATTCATCCCATGCTGTGCTCTCTCACTTTTTGTGCCATATGCTGAGAGCCTGGGGCTGGACCTTTGTGGTGCATGACAAGCGTGGGGTGGGAGGCACTCCCTGCTTTGTGAGACACTTGGAAGGCCAAACACCTATTTTATAACCTGAAATCAGATTTTCACACCAAAGACAGGGCCAACAGTGGTTTGAGATCTGCCTTAGTGTCCAGCTTTACCAAGAGGTGCAAGAAAGTGATGAGGGAAGGGTTGATATTCAGTCCACGCCCTGTGCAGCAGGTGAGCACAAGTTAGAGAGAAGTATTTATCTACAGATCTGGAAATCTGGAGTGCTCCAAGACAGAAATTCTTGCATATGTAGAAAGCCCTGTGCAAAACCTGTGTTTCTTGTCTCTTGAGAAGGAAAAGCATCCACCACGAAGTCCATAAAATGTTGAGTTCTAGCAGCAGCTCTTGCAAACATGCTGGAGAACTGGTCTGGAGGCTCGTGTTTAGGTATGGTATGCTCTCCTCTGCTGTAGAACAGGCCTTTGTGCAGGGAGTATTATCACCTTAGACTTGTTTTCTGAGAGTTTTGAAGAATAAGGGACACCATAGCAGCCAAAGATTAATACAAAGGGGATGTCATCAAGGGACAGGCAGGGAGGACACGTCCCCTGCACAGCTGGGAGTGCCCTCTGAACAGCCCAGAGGAGCCCAGTCTGATCCTTTCTTCCTTGGTCACACAAGCACCTTAGAAGTTCTTCAGGACCCTGAACTGCACCAGTATAGTACCACTCTAGTGGTACTGTCATTGCCAGAGAAAAGCATTTTATCTGTGGTTTTACAAGCTCTCCTTTCAGAGTTTCCTTTTTTTGTGTTTGTGTCTTTGTCCTCCCTGAACTTTTTATGTGATTAGGAAGTGGCTGAGCTGGAAATTTCCTTGCTTATTTTTCAATGCTGCCAGTGCTCCAAGGACAGTTCAAGAACACCAATGGTCTGCGGAGAGCTGCTCTGTCCCTAGTTAGTCTGTCACTTATTTTTGGCTTCTCTTTGCAATCTGGCAGCAAATGGCCCCTCGAGTTTGATGCTCCCCAGCACCACCAGGCTTCTGGAGCTTGGGGATCACATCCCTGGGCTGTTGCCCAAGAAGTCTGGTCATGGAAGAGTGGAACAAATTGGTATTACTGCAGTGACTGGTGGGAGGCTGTCCTGCAGCTTTACAGGACTAATGAGGGGCATCAGCAGATTTCTGGTGTGCTCCCTTGATAGTGCAAGGAGCACACTGGGGACAAGATTTTGCCCAGAAACAGGGAATTTTAAGCCAGCCCTTGGTGACCCAGCATCAGGGGCTGTTCATTCAGCAGATTCCAGCGAGGTGACAGCTCTGATAATGTTCTCCTGCTGTTGAAAAAGGTTGCCATTATAAGCGTGCCCCTTTCTTCACTCTTGGTCAATGCTGGTCCTTGGCATTTTGCATGGAGTTGAGGGGTCTTTCTTCTTATTCTAACTTGTGCTTGCACTCAGCTGCGTGCAGGATTGCCACATGGGTGGCTGGGGTCACTCTTGGCACATCATAAGACATCCCTTGAGAGCTTTCATACGCTCTGCCACTTTTGAGTTTGCTGTGCATCTGCAATAGCATTGTCTCAGACCCACCAGCCTTTCACTTGAAAGAAAAACCACAAGATCAAGATGGAGCCAGAATAAATGTTTGTCTTTAAATAGATTTCACCATTGAAAACCACCTTCAGCCAGGCTGGGCAACTGGTAATGGCCTTTCCCACCTCTCACACATCAGCAAGCAGCTGATGTCCAAACCTGGAGCAGTTTCACCTGTCCTTGTGGGCAGCAGGTGCAGTGAGCACAGTGAGCTATGGGGATGCTGTTGAGGGATTTCTGGCCTCAGGACCTGGGTAGGCTTCAATCATCCTGCAGGAACAAAGACCAGCAACCTCATGGTCCACTTCCAGCAGATTGCCAAGGGGTTTAAAGAGCAATTGTTCTTTCCATGCCAGTCTGTGACCTTTGGGTTGTCCTTGGGTATCAGTGTTGGTGACCAACCTTGGATCTACTTTCCAGTTCTGTGCTATAGCCAGAGACCTTTCTTGTGGTCAAAACCCAGTCAAAACAATACTGAGCTGGGATTGCTTCAGCATCATCTCCAGAGACCCTGAAGAGGCAACAAGAATCCAGTGGCCAGGAGAGAGATGTTTGGTGTGCATTTTGCAATAGGTCAGCTCTCACTGCAATGGGTGCAGAGATCGTCTGCAGTTTAACAAGCACTGGAAGTTTTTTGTTGGCTCTTGTGATTTTCCCCAGAACTTTCTGCCATGGGGTAGTGGATCAGTTCACAAAATTCAAGGTAACATCTCCTAAAATCTGCAATCTTGTGGGCCCCAACTGCTCTATCTTAGCAAATGTATATGGGAGGACTACAGAAACACTGGAGAGGCACTTTGTATAAGGGTCTAAACAGACAGGTCAAGGAGGAAAGGATTCCCCATGCCAGAGGGCAGGGTCAGATGGGATATTGGGAAGGAATTCCTGGCTGAGAGGGTATTGAGGCCCTGAGGTTGCTCAGAGCAGCTGTGGCTGCTCCATCCTTAGACATGTCCAAGGCCAGGTTGGACAGGGTTTGGAGCAACCTGGGATAGTGGAAGGTGTCCCTGATTATGGCAAGGGGAGAGAACAAGATAATTTTTAAGGTCCCTTCCAACCCAAACCATTCTGGGATTCTACAATTTTTTTCCATTTAAAGCAGGATGAAAAATGACATCAGTACATGCCAAAGCTTGGACTTGGTCCTTTGCTTTGTTACTTGAGCCCAGTCCCATTAAAACTACAGGATGGGGTGTTTTAGGCAAGGCAGTCTGGATAGGCTGGCACAAACAGCCTCCTGGCCATTGGAGCAGCAAAATGCTGCTGAAACTGCAAAAGGAGGTAACTCAGCTGGATTACAAAACAAATTTTGCTGCTTTTTAAAATAATACCTTTTTTTTTCTAAATGGAAGTTAAAAGCTGATCCAGCAAAACTGGGAGAAAACAACACAGCAGGAATTTATAAAATAACAGATTTTGTTTGTAAGCCAGAGTAGAACAATGTGCCTCTTTGTCTGCAGCATGGATTATGCAGGAATAAAATAATAAATAAAAGGACTGCTGAATGGGGCTGACATCGTGTGCCTTCCGAAGGACACTGAATTACTAAGAGGAATAAATCATCCTTGGTTTACAAACAAACAGGCTTGCTGGTATGCCCATCTCCCAAAGCGTAAATCAGCCCCAACTCACCCTGGCAGTGAGCAGCTGTTCCACCTCTTTGGCCAGGTCCAGAGCTGGTGCTGCAGATGTCTTCATCCTGGCTTTAAAGAAAAATCAGATTGATGGAGTGATCAGAGACCACAGCCCTTCTGCAGTACAACCACTGCAGATCCCACCTAGCTGGGGGAGGACATGGTCCTTCAACCTAAACTCCCAAACTGACCCCAAATTTAAGTAAGGGCTCGATATGATCATATCCACGAGCTGATGGTGGCTCAGAAGAACATGGGATGTACCTTGGGAAGGTACACCCTTCCAAGTTGCTGATAGGACATCAGAGCACAGGAACCAGCACTGCAATCCCAGCCTAACTCAGCAACCTCCCAGGAATGGCTGGTCCTGCCATGAGTAGTAGCTGCTTCTTTGGGATGCTCAAGACAGGATCCATAAAGATATCAAGGAGGGAGCTCTGTAAATTCCTTTGACGTTTGGAATGTGTTGTTTGGCTCCTGCAGCATCTTCCAGCGACAGGAGGGTTGATCCTTGGCAAAAAGCCTGGACTTCTGGTGGCCTCCGGCGTGGCTGGGTGCACCATGCCTGCTGCTGTTGTCACAGCTCCTGGTAGGAAGTTCCACACTGCCTGGAGCACTTTTGTTGTGCTGGGTTCACAGGTGACCTCTGCAGCAGCAAGTCCCAGCCAAGAGGGACATCAAGGCATGTATGTCCTCTGCCCACTTAGGCCTTATACCTCCCTCTGGAACTCAGCAGAGGGTTTCCTTTATGAGATACAGGTAAAGGGGGATGCCAGATGTGTTTCTCCTGAGAGGTCCGAGGAGAGGGTGCAGGTGGAGATGGAGCTCTGAGTGCCTCTGCACAGGGGCTGCATCTCTTCCAGCATCCCCAGAACACAAAGGTTAAAGGCAGGGGCCAGATGGTTGCCTGGCCGGAACAGGTTCTTCTCTATCCCAGTTTAACCAAAAAACATATAAAATTTTCCTCATCTCAGCTGCTTTGATGCATGACTCTGGAGCTGCAGGGATGCAGGAAGACCATCACCTTCCTAAGGCAATGTCATTGTTCATCTTACCTGGGTGTGTTACAGAGGCTGTGAGCTCTTGGGGTTTCTGCTTCTGGGCAGGAGAAACTCACCCTCAGGTACTTCAAAGCTTACCCTGCACGCTCCTCTGTACCTCTCCACTGCCCAGCCGAGGGCAGGCAGAGTTCTCAGAGAATTCCAAGAGTTTTATCTGGGGGAGGGCTGCACACATGTGGGGAAAGAAGACAAGGAGGAGCTCTGGAAGTGGAGAGGGTCTGGATGTGGGTTGCCCTTGGTCAAGCTCTGTGCTGTGGGATTGCTTCTCAGCAGCTGAGGTGGTGGAGGGACCACCAAGCCCAACCCGTTCCACCCCCTGCCATGAGCAGGGACACCTTCCATTAGACATGGGGACTGGAGCCAGGGCTGGGGCAGCTCTGCAGGTGGGCTCTCACCTGAGAGGAGTAGTTCCTATTTGGGTGCAGATATTGATCCTTTGGAGGACAAACGTGAGCTCACTGATTCTCTAAATTAGGCAGCAGTGGACAGGGCCAATTCTTCTAAAACTTGGAGGAAAAAACAAAGAGGAACATGGATATGAATCTGCTGGGGAGAGGGAGGGGATCATGGATGAGAGCCAATCCAAAGATGCAAATAGAAAACATTGGTGCAGGTTTTCTTTCACAGATAATGATTATGCAGAATTATCTAAAAAATCTGTCTTCTAAATGTTTTCAGGACATTAATGATGAAGAGCAGAGCTTGGCTTTGGCTCCAGTGATATGTAGAGGGTATGACTTGAATCAAAACAATCATCATTAAAATGTTTGGGGTTTCTTTAATGTTCAATTCTAGTGTAAATGAAAGAGTGGAAAATTTTTTTCTGGTTGCCTTTCCAATTATTTCCAGTATTAGTGATTATTATCTTAAGAAAACAGCATTTACTTAAATATCCTAAGACTATCTGGTTTTGTCCCTGCTTCCTCTCACTACTTAATCACTTATAATAGAGCAACAAGAAAAGAAGACACTGTCTTTAGTCTTTCCCTTTCTTCATTTTTTTCTTGATTGTTTGGCAGCATTTCATTTGTACAATCAGGTTTGTTGCTTTGCCCATCTACCTGTCAGGTTTTCTCTACTTATTTCTTATGGTCTTCCAGTCGGGAAGGGCAAACAATTTTAAAGAGCACCATCACAGGGCAGCAAAAGTTAACTGAGGATCTTTGTATCAGACTGAAAAATGAGAGCCTCCTTTGGCTCATCCCTGTAAAGATGAACTGGATCTGAAGTTCATCGTGTCCTGTTAAGTAGCTGTTGGCCAGAACACAAGATCGGTCTAGGTCAGCTTTGATGTTGTTACTGGAGCTGGCTTGGAGGCAGCGTGTGACTTGGACTCCAGACAGGAATTTGGGTCAATAACTGAGGATGATGAGCAGAAGTAGCAGGACAACAACTTGTACAGAGTTTTAATTCCTCTGAATTTATGCCTCTTATAACCAGCCTTGCGCAGTGCAGAGCATGCTCCTCACCTGGGCGTTTCAGCTCGGCTTCCTTCCCCTTGCTGGAATAACATCTCACATCTGCTGAGGTCCAAGGGAAAACTGCTTCAGATGTCAAAGGAGGTCCAGCTGGAGCACTCGTGTGTGCCCTGAGCTGAGGTCCTGCCGGGCAGTGCCCCGCTGGGTGACCCCGAGCCCGACAGCGGCTGCTCCGTGCTCCCGAGACAAGGAGGAAGCTCTGCAGACACAACTCCCAGAAAAGCTGTCACGTCCCTGCTTCTGCAGCCTTGGCTTTGATCACAGAAATCACCAAGGGAAAGATGTCCAGTGTGTAAGTGTGCTGCTGCTCTCCAGGGGATGGATGCTCCACCATGGCAGCCTTTGAGAGTTACAGAACCATGGAATGGTTTGGGTGGGAAGAGACAGTAAAACTCATCCAGTCCACCCCCTGCCATGGGCAGGGACACCTTCCCCTGTCCCAGGCTGCTCCCAGCCCCATCCAGCCTGGCCTTGGGCACTGCCAGGGATCCAGGGACAGCCACAGCTGCTCTGGGCACCCTGTGCCAGGGCCTGCCCACCCTGCCAGCCAGCAATTCCTGCCCAAGATGCCAAAATCTGTGCCTGCCCTGTGGCAGTGGCAGCCATTGCCTGTGTGCTGTCCCTGCAGGCCTTGTCCCCAGTCCCTGTGCAGCTCTCCTGGAGCCCCTGGAGGCCCTGGCAGGGGCTCTGAGGTGTCCCTGGAGCCTTCTCTTGTGCAGGGAACAGCCCCAGCTGGGCCAGGCTGGCTCCAGAGCAGAGGGGCTCCAGCCCTGGCAGCATCTCCGTGTGCATTCTCTCCCTATAAATTTTCAGTTTCATTCATTTGGATTTACCTTTACTTACCTTCATTAACCTAATGTGAATTAGACCATATTAGACCAGACTGGACTAGTAGAAGAAAACTCCTGTAACCAAAATAAACTCGACTGGTTTTTTTGGTTTTTTTTTTGGTTTTTTTTTTTTGGTTTTTTTTTTTTTTTTTTTTTTTTTTTTTTTGTATGAAAACTGTTCAGAAGACCATGAACAGTTCTGGTTCATGTGCAGAGCTGTTAACCAAGTTGAAGGCATCTGGGTTTTCTCTCTCTCACTGACTCCTGGAGTGCTTTTAAGGCAAACTTCAAATTTTTAAGGTAAACCTGTTCATCTTATCCTGCTAGCAGTCAATTTTGTTACATTTGAATGGATTATTTTTCCTCAGCAAAAAGACAAAACTAATAAACTACTTGCAAAGAGACCAGTGAGGTTTTTGAACAAACTTAGTCATCTGCAAACCACCCAGATCCACCAGTCTGAAATTTAGAGATAAATTTTAAGCTTTATAACCCAACTGATTTTGAGATCATTGGATATTCCCTCCATTGCTCTGAGTGTATAAAATGTGGTCCAGCTTTTCCATGGAGTCTTTGATGGGTTGTTCAGCTACAGGTCTGGCTGTTTCACAGAGAGAGCAAGGATCTTTTTCTCATTGACATCTACAGGTTTTAGGGCATGGTACTACGATTATTTCAGTACACTTGTCTAGCTCCAGCTGAGCTGGTGTGGCCTTTCTCTTCATAACTTTGTAGGATATGTCTGTTGTCAGGCAAAACAAGATATGGAAAGCCACATGGAAAGGAGGGGGAGAAAAATCAACCATATTTGTATTAATGTTTTGTCCAAGTCTTGTGTCATTTCTTAACTTTGTCTGAGCTGGTTTGCCTGTTTGCAGAATGAGGAAAGATGGAACAGCGTGGCCTGGAAAACCTTGTTTTATTGATCCATATTACAAGTCAGGTCAGAAGAAGAGGATTCTGAATGTTTTCACTTTTTGTCTTCTTTATACAGATTGCCGTAAATGTCCCGAACCCTTGTGAAACAGCTGCAAAACAACCTGCAACGGAGAGGGCTGAGATAGGAAAAAACCAATAATCAAGCAATAGAAATGACCTGATGTTCAGTTTTAAGCCTGGGTTGGTTCTGGGCTGAGCTGCTTTACCCATCCCTCTGGGCAGTGTGAGGTCTCTGATGCCTTTGCATCAATGTGCAGAAGTTGCCAGACCCTTTGTGTTTGCTGCTGGGCTGGATGGGACTGCTGGGAAAGCAATGAGCTGTATAATTTATGTTGGAATGTCAGCATCAGAGCAGGCATAAAATTACAACTCGTTTGCACAGGCAGAGGAGAAAGATCTTGGGTTTCCTGGACTGCCACAGCCATCTCTCGGTGAGGCTGCTCTTGGGGACCACTGGAAAGTTTTACTTGCTGGAGTGAGGCTAGGTCATTGTTTCAGTTTGGGAAGCCACCAAAAAATGTGCTGTTCTTGTTCTTGGAAGGATGGATTGGTCTTTTTCATCCCAAACAGATCTTTTGTGCCCAGATTTTGGAGCTTGGGAGAGATAGCTGGCACCACCTGCATTGGGGACTCTGCTAAGCCACCTCAGAGTGCTGCTAAAGGGAGATACTACACTGGGCATTGAGGGAGCAGCACATTCCAAATGGACTTTATGTTAAAATCATCTCCAAAGTGGGATGCTTGGATGTGCTTGACGGGCTGGGCTTGTCCCAGGTCCCTCTCTAGCTCTCATGGAGCTCCTACCAGTGCCTCCAAGAGAGCTGGAGAGGGACTGGGGACAAGGCATGGAGGGACAGGACACAAGGAATGGCTTCTCATTGCCAGAGGGAATATTAGATGGGATAATTAGGTGAGATATTGGGAAGGAATTGCTGGCCGGCAGGGTGGGCAGGCCCTGGCACAGGGTGCCCAGAGCAGCTGTGGCTGCCCCTGGATCCCTGGGAGTGCTCCAGGCCATGTTGCATTGGGCTTGGAATGTGGAAGGTGTCTCTAGAAATGCCTCCAGTGGCAGGGGGTTGGAATGGGCTGGAATTTAAGCTCCCAACCCAAAGCATTTTGGGATTCTATGGAGCTCTGATTATATGGTAATTGGTGAAACAGTGCTGAGTTGCTGCTGCTTGTGAGGCTGGGGCAGCCCTGGATGGGGGTTGAGGAGGGTTATAAAGCATTCCCCATGCCGCTCCTATTGTTCCTCAGAGAGCAGCCTGACCTTTGTGGAGACCTAACCCTTGGGGCTGAATGCAGTGGCTGTGAAAAAGTGACCCCAAGGAAACCTGGGGGAGGGGTGCCAGGCAGCTGGGGGCACAGTTGTCCAGCCTCATCAGCCCTGCCTGGCACAGATTTGGGATGTGCCTGTTCTGCCAGGCATAAATTCCTTAGAGACTTTTAAAAAAAGTCTAAATTCATTAGAAACATTAAAAAAATATCCTCCTCTCTTTGTTTTCTCACTTGTCTAATGCACAGCCAAGCTCCCAGCGAGGGGAGCCATGCAGGGATGCATCTTGCTGTGCCAGCAGGTGTGATCCCTCAAGGTGTGCAGCAGCAGGAGCGATGCATTTGGGAGCTAACATTTGCTGTGTGAAGGACCAGACACCTGAAGAGGGTGACCACAGAGGTGAAAGAGCTGCAGTCTGTTTCTCCTCTCTTGTGAGCTTGTATTCTTCCCCCTTTTTCTTTAGAGGCCAGCTCCTGCTTGTCCTTGCAAGAGACTCACCCTGCAAGAGGCACCAGCCCTTGTGCTGCAGCTGTGTCCACGGGGTAGCAGCCAAAAAATGAGTTCCAGATATCTGGAATGACTTCTGGTGTTAGTTCCCCCCACACACTCTTTGCAGAGGGTGGAAGGGAGCCCCACAGGAACACATCAGAAAACAGCTCCAGCTCTGGGGTGCAGGATAATCAGGGGCCCTACAAGCACCAAATATCTCTCTGCCAAATCCACCGAGGTAGTTTTCCTTGCAGACAGGCATTGCTGAGCTTTCCATAGGGAAAGGTTAACTAAGTAATTTCATGCAAATCTTCCTCAGCTCAGAGGTATTTACTCTGTTTGCAAAGTCCTTCTGCTGCTGCTGGAGTTGTGCCATCAATTTGTGTCAGGCAGAGCACAATAAGAGGCTTCCCTTTAAATTCGGTGGTGTGGCTGCTGGGAAAAGCTGGGAAAACTCAGTTAGTGATTAGATTTGGGTAAGTTTTCTTAGAAGTGTTCACCAATGGGTTTGTTAGTGAAGTCAGGCAAAGGTGAAGCATTTCAGGCAAAATATAAATGGCATTTAATAGAAAAAAAAAAAAAAAAATTAGTGCAAGAAATCAAAGGAAGAGGGGGAGTTTGAACTTGTCCTGACTAGCCTGGCACAGCAGCAATGGTCTTTCCAGAGTCCACTGTGCTCACTGCAACAACCATAGAAAGTAACACAAAATCCTGCTTTTCCCTAGACAAAAGCAGTAGTGGCATTGCCATGTCTGAAAGAAAGCAGCATGGGAAGAGAAGGTTAATGGTTTTGGTAGAGCTCCCTGCTGAATGTGTCTTGTGGTCACTGTGGGGAAGGGACAGCAAGAACATCCCTCTACTGCAAACTGGAGAATGATTTTGATTTTCTGATATTCACTCCTCTGGAAACAAAGATGATGGTACTGGTACTGTTGAAATCATGTCCTCACTGCTGAGCTAAAACTGAAATATACCTGTAGCCACAGAAGAGTCTGGGTTGGAAGGGACCTTGAAGTCCATCCAGTGTCCATAGAGCAGAGGGGCTCCAGCCCTGGCAGCATCTCCGTGCCCCCCCTCTCCTCGTGTTTTATGGGGGGCATCTCTACAGAGCAGCTGTAGATCCATGTTTGCCCCGTTCCTGAAGGCCCCCGGTGGTGGGAGCATGGAGAGAACAGCTTGGCCTTGGCCACACAGTGCAGCAGGGAGGGAGGAGGAAGAAGGTTATTGTACCTGGCTGAAGGTCTCAGGGACCTGCCGGGAGGAACAAGACCATCATAGCTGTTCTGGCAAGGAATGTCAAAGCTTTTGGTAGATTGTTCTGCACAGCTCCTGCCAGGAGGGGACAGCCAGGGGGGTCGGGCTTTGCTCCCAGGGAACAGGGACAGAAGGAGAGGGAACAGCCTCAGGCTGGGCCAGGGGAGGTTTAGGCTGGAAATTAGGGAAAATTTCATGGAAAGGGTTGTCTTGCCCTGGCACAGCTGCCCAAGGCAGTGGTGGAATCCCCATGCCTGGAGGAGTGTGGCTGTGGCACTTGGGGACAGGGATCATGGTGGCCATGGCAGTGCTGGGGCTAAGGTAGGACTCAGTGTTCTTGGAGGGTCTTTCCAGCCTAAATGATTCTGTGATCAATGACAAGGCTTCACTGATTTTTACAAAGCCCTTTATTTTTGATCTCAAGGCTCATAAAAACTGTTACTTAGAACCAAAATGTTTAAAATTTTACATATATACAATATGAGAAATAAATTATGTTTTAAGTCATACAAAAACCACAATATACAAATAGGGCTTTGAAACTTCTCTAAGTATGGCATGGCAACAACTCACAGATACTTACCAAAGGCTTCCATTTTCGAAGTCTTTGCATAAAACCATGAAAAAAATATCCCCAAATGTGCTTGCTTTGGTTGGAGTGAAGCTCTACAAAAACTGAAGAGATTTTCAGGCCTCAGAAGGACTTGCTAAGACTTCAGAACTCAGTGCACCACCTGGCAACACCATTTTTGAGATTGCCTTTCTGCATGCCAAAAGCTCAAGGGTTGTTAAAAAAAAAAAAAAAAAAAAGAAAAAAAGAAAGAAAAAAGCAAGCAACCAAAACAAAACCTATTTCACCAACTGACAAGGTCCACTCTGCTGCAGCAAACAGGACAGCTGCAGAGTCTGTCCAACCCAAAGCCAAGCCAAGATCACCTGGGACCAGGGAATCCAACTGGGGTGTGGTGACAATTGAGGGCAGGATGTTTGGCACTCAAAAATAAGGTCCTAATTATGCATTGGTACTACAACAGCTTCTGAGCAGAGGGGAGCACGTTCTCAGAGGTTCAAAGGAGTGGTGCAAAGCTCTCCTGAGGCAGCACGGTGCATTGTCTTCCTCCATCCCTGTGGTCAGAACAAGGGCAGCTTCTCTTTGCCCTTTAAAAAGGGATCCCCACGTGGGACTGGGCAGCCCCACTGCAGACACTGACCAGGCAGCAAGGACCACCACCACCTGCACCGTGTCCTGCCCCAGGCACAGGGAGGACAGAGCTCTGCCTCCCTGTCAGGCCATATGTCAGGCAAATAGACACTTCAGTACTGGAACGGATTATTTTTAAGGCAAGCAAAGGACAACTTGAAGTTAAGTGGCATTGTGCTTATCCCCAGCCCTTCCCTGGGCAACCCCACACACCTGACCTGTGCTGGTCTCACCTTCCCACAGCCCACAGTGCTGCAGGACCATGGTAACCCCTACCCTAGGTGCTAATTTGCTCTTGGCAGCTCTGTCACCCACAGTCTGATGGGCAGTTAGCATGATTATTTTTCTTCTCAACTCCACTGGCAGGCAGACCAGAAGATCATTGCTGAGGTCTCAGTCTGTGAAGATCTCATCCATAGTCCTGGTTAATGGGAGCAGGGAAGGGAAAATGCAGTGTGTAACAGGTCAAGGTAAGGTTAAATGCACAAACCAGGCTCCTTGGGAAAGGGAAAACGGAGTTTTAGTTATTCTAGGTCTAGGACCATGGTTCATCAATTGCTCCTTAGTTTCTTGCATCCAATCCAAGGTGTTTTGTCCTGAAGGGCTAGTTTCTTTAAGTGCTACCAAGCCAGGTTTCTCCCAGAGCATCTTGCCACCTGTGTGGTCTTCATGCATCTAGGTTGCTTGGTTGTGAGTCTTTAGGGAAGCCTTCAGAGCAGATTTGAGACAGACCTGGGGGAAACAGAGAGCAAAAAAGACACCTAGTTAAATGCAGAAATTAAGAGGAGTAATGAAGGATTTCTAAGAACTCATAGAATGCCAAGAACAGGTTTGGACAGCACAGGCTGGTGTTTTATTCTGCCAAAGCTGCACTTTGCCCAGTAGCTGCTCAGTGAGAGCCTGCAGCAGACATTATGCAGGCTGCAAGCAGAAATTACAGGGCTTGAGCTAGACCCTGCCTGTGCAGCTCCATTTGGGATGGACAGATGTTTGCAGGCTCAATCTCTAAGGAGGGAGCTATAATGTTGCACTGACTTGACAGAAACAGAGAGCCGAACAGCAAGTAATCACTCATGATTTCTGGAAGGAAGGATCATTTCCTAGAAAAAATGGTGTGCTGGAGCTGAGCTCAGCTCCTCTGCCTCGTGCACAAGCTGTACTGCACGAGAAAGCAGGAAGGGCACATCTGCCAGCAATTCAGTTTTATGGGGGTTACCAAGTAGCATATCAAAACAGCCTTTTATTGTACCTGCAGGAATGTTTACTGGATCTTTCGAGACTCGTGGCAGAGCAACAAGTTCTTGCACAGGGGTTTCATTCACAGAATTGTTTGCTACCGTGCATAGCACAGCTTGCTGGTTTCTGCCAAACCTGGAATGGGACCAGCTCGCATTTCTGAGCTGAGCTCTGCTGCCCAGGAAGGCTGTGCAAAGCTCGACTTCCACATGGCTCTGCTAGCCCTAACAAGCACTTTGTCCTCTGGATTAGAAGTGACAAAGCTCCAAGTCTACAAGCTGAAATTTAAGAGAGGGCAAAAGGCTGGGCTGAATCCAAAGGAAAGTATCATTTAGTCAAATGAACAGGAATTCATTCAAAACATGACTGGAGGCATCCAAGGCAATCAGGTTGCCACTGCTGGGACCAGACTTTCTGGAAGTCATGCTCTGAGGACTGTTCTGTGTGTCTGGGAAGTCCCCCAGAGGTTAAGCAAGGCTGAGCTGCTTCGGCAGTGGCAGAGCCAGCACTCTCCTGAACCAGAGGAGATCACCAGGCCTGGAGGTGAAGCTGTAGGAATCAGGGCTGTAACACCATGGCAAGTCCTCACCTGAGTCTTCCTCATGCAGTAGAGCTCAAACTTTAACCAAGTGATTTCTTGGCTGCTCAAGGTCTTCCACCAGACTTTGAGGAAATGCCCTGCACTTCTCCCCCTGTTTTACAGGGCACTTAATAAATGACTCTTAGTTACCTTTCCACTGTTGCACAGATCTGGGGCATTGGTGGCACCTCACTTTAGCACCTACCACAATTAGGAGCAAGGACTGTGATACACCCATTTGGCAGTTAACATGTAAAGGTACAAGATGACAATCCAAGGTCAGAAGGGAGAATAATATCACCTACTTAGCAATAGATATGGCGTACATGAAAATTAAGTCTGATAGCTGTGAATCTCAGGCTAGGATTTCTTATCTTTTTTGAAAGAAAAAGCAGTGTCAGGAGTCTAAAAAAACGAAGAGAAGGTTCCACTCATCCCAGCCAAGCCACATGCATCATACAGAATTTCTCTTGACTGATTTCCATACCTTTTCTGCCATTCCTCTGTGCACTTCACAAACCAGAGCTCTTTGCCAGGAGATATACTGGTTATCTGGGCGTCCTCCACACAGAAAGCAAACCTAGGAGGAGGAGGACACAGAAGTCAAGGTACTTGCTGTCTCCAAGACCAACAATTAGCATGTAATACAGCCTACAGCTTATTCTAGGACAAGTTGTTTGATTAGACATCCATCCCCCAGAACATCTTGATACACCATCAGCCCCTTGAGTTGCTGTTTTATTTCCTACTTCAATATTTTAACTGGGGGTCTCTGCTCCTACTACCCCTATGTTTCATAGAAGCCAGAATGCAGAATGGCAGGTGACAGGTGATGCTTATGTAAAGCACTGAGAAATGTGGGAAATTGTTACTGTTCTTTGACAGATCTGGGTTACCTTCAGAACAACATTAACAGAAGGTGTGGGAGTGCTGTGCTACATGCTTGGGAACTTTAACAATTTTTGGATGCTCAGGTAACTTTCCGTTTGCAGAGAATCATAGAATCAGAGAATGGTTTGGGTGGGATGGGACCTTAAAAATCATCGCTGCCATGGCAGAGAACCTTCCACTAGAATTCTATGGTCAATTCTATGATCCAAGGACATGGGTTGAGTTTGGAAAGGCCCTTAAAAATCACCTAGTTCCAACCCCCCTGCCAAATCCCAGAAGGAGCAATGCAGTGCTTGAGGGGTTGCTGTCACCATGTTACTGGTTGCAGTTTTAGGCCCTGCTGGTTGTACCAAATCAGCACATTAAGCCTGTAAATAATAGCCATGACCATCCATCTTTCAGTACTTTTGGTGCTCAGTACTTTAACACTTCAAGTACAATCTAAACCACCTTGAAGCACATTAATTTAGTCCCCACCGGCTCCCACAGTATCAAAATAAAGCTCCAAATCTGCTCTGTGGTGACCAGTTTTGCTTAAAGACTATTTGCAGCCTCATGCTGGACAGTAACCTGCTCTCCTACACCACGAGGGAACAATAGCTGTTGACACAAAAAGGAAGGCAGCTCAGGATACCAACTACATTCAAAACACTGTCTTTTTTTCCTTTGATCTAGGTTGAAGTTTCAGGACACTTCACATGCAGCCTAGCACAATTATTACCTCTGTTGTGTTTCCCCAGATTTCACACGTATTCGTCTGATGTGGAGCTCCTGGGAGGAATTCACAGGCCTGTACCAGTAGCTCCTCAGCTCTTTCCACAGATCATACCACGACTGAGACGTCCCCTCCCAGGTAAGCTTTATTTTCAGAAGTTCACCCATGTCCTCCTCAGTATAGACCAGGAAGGTGTTCGTAGCATTTAGGCCAATTAGATCAAGCCTGGAAGAGAGGCAGAGACTTGGTATTTTTTCCTTATGGAAGGATGCCAGGTGCTCCTTTGTTCCATGCCAGGAGTTCAACAGAGCCCCTGCAGCTTATCAAGTGCTGCACATTCAACTGTCACCAGTTAATTACTGATTACACTGACAGGAGCTCAGATAGCTGGTTCCACACAACGCAGTGTGTACTTAGCTTGGCCATCCTTCCATAGCTTAAAGGTGGGTTTTGTGCCTGCACTTTCTTTTGGGAGAGGCTAAATAAGGTCAGCAGTGCCTCCAGAGACATTTCAGACCACGTCCAAATGGTGGAGGACAAAAATGAACCGACCAACCAAAAAAAAACCACAAACATAAAAGGCTAACATGGGACATGGGAACACATTAAGGTGTTCTCAATTCATCCAGTAATAAATTGTAATTAAGCTACTGAATGAAAAGCTTTTTGGAAAGGTGATGAAGTGAGGCTGCAATACCAATGTTATCAAAGGAAGAAAAATTCTGCCATCCTGTGTAGTCCCCTGTGGCCTTCATATTTAGGTAAAAACACAAAAGGCAGATTACTTACATTTCCAAAGAGAGGGGCTCAGAGTCTCCATTGGTGCCATGGAGGGTGACAGAGAAGGTGGGATCAACCTCTCCCAAGCCCTTATAGCTGAAGACGTGCATTTTCATCTGGTAGTGGTAGACTGGAGAGAAAGGGGAGACCAGAGATGGAACCAGCTGTGCTGAAAGAAACGTTGCTCAGCACTGCTCTGTGTGAAATAGTGTTGGCTAGCAAGGACCAGACCCTTCCTTTAGTGAGACAGCACTGATCACTTTTTTGCTGCCCTTACTGATTACAAATTTGAGTTTTACACAACAACAGCAGCAGGCCCACCCTGGGGACAGCTCCCCAGACCTTACGTTGCTCCGAGGCTGAGCTCTGCAAGCACGGCAGGTGAACTGCAGCCCTGCTCAATAGGCAGAGGGTTGTTGTGGGTGGATTTCACAGGGAGGAAGGAGCACGGTGATGGCACAGCACAGCAGTGCAGCCGGGTGCCAGCAGAACAGCAGCTGGAGCTTCGCGGCTTTGGGGAGATGCTGCTCCTCCGCCTCTGCCTCCTTCCCCACACCGACTCGGGGAGGATGCTCCCACAGGGAGGCTGTGCTCCTCCTGGGAGGGGAAGCGTACCTTTGAAGGGCATGTCAGCCCTGGTTTTCAGGTACATCTTGCTGTTCCTCTTGTGCCGGATCCTGCGGGCGTTGTAGCCGATGCCGTTGCAGCGGTTCTTGCGGCAGCTCAGGCAGATGCCCTTCTTGAAGCGGCTGGAATCGGTGCACTGAAACGCGAAGCTCTGCTTGTCCTGGTTCACCAGGGAGTCCACGAAGAGGTGCACAGACCGCTCGTGCTCACATTTGACAACTTCACCAATTGCTGGAGAGGCAGAGTTGCAAGGGACACACTTGGTTTAAGCAGCTGTCACCCCAGCAGCCCGTGAAATAAAGTGAGCTATGCCTTTCTGCAGCCAGCATGAGCTGAGCGCGGCCAAACTTGAACAGTTTTCCAACAGCAGCAATTCAGAAGGTTAGTGGGAGATGATCACTTAGTCCCTCCCATGAAGAACTTTAAGAGAATCCTAGTCCCAGCATAAGACCACAGATTATGATCAGGTGTTGGAGTGAGAATGTGCTTCATTGTTAAAAGCATTTATGGTTTCTAGCAACTATCTCCAGAAGTACAGACAGAAGGAAAAATTAGTTTTCTTTCCATCAATCCAAGTCTATTTGTGAGAAGTCTACACTGACCAGAGGCAAAAGGTAAAGAGAACTTACTCCCATAGGCAATGGCTCCCAAGACATCACTTAGGCCACAGCCAGGCTGAAAGTCTCCCCCGTTGGGGTAGATGTCAAGGTGGCCCACAGGCATCTGGATCCCAATGCTAACACCCAGTGTTTCCCTGGTGTAGGTGTGAAGGACATCCACAAAGTTGGCATCATCGGGGGAGAGGCGCCTGCTGGGGTCCACTCCTTCAAACATGGGGCCAGCAGGATCCAAGCCTGGAGTCAGAGACAGAACACAAGGGCCCAGGTAAGAAATTGGGCTATTTCATACAGAACATAGCCAGAAGCCTGCTGCTGGCAGGTGTCCTCACCAGCTGATTCACAGACAGCCCCAGCCTCATTGCTGGTATTGTCCCTCAAGATGTCTTCACCATGGGCTCACTGAGGGTATAAATAAAAATGTCCTGTTCCACTTTCAGGGCAGCACAACCCAATAGCAGCACCATGACAAGATTGCCTGTTGGAAGCAAAAAGCCTTCACCAGGTGATGGTGAAGAGATGATTCAAGAGGCAGCTCCAAACACCAGAAGAGGTTTAACACCACAGGGACAGCTGGCAGCCAAAGCTGCCTCAGTGACATTTAGTCTGTTTTCACACTGCAGATATGGAGGGACTAACACAATTTAAGCAGCAGCCAAGAAATACCTGCATCTGAGATCCCATGATAGGTTTGGGATGCTCTGTTAACCCCTGAGCCTCACCCCCAATCAAAACCTGCACTCCAGAGCATTTCTACTACTTGACTGTTAGATGATTTTTCCCCCTGATTAATTAAATACAGACATTTATTGCTAGGCTATGTGGAATTCTAACTGCCAGTGTCACATGTAAATCCTTAATGCAACTCCTTGTACTATGCCCTAAGTTCTCAGATGTTGAAATCAGCTTTCCTCTGGAGCTGGAAGCAAACTCTTCAGATATTTCCAGAATGAGGGTTTAGAGTTGATTTTTTTTTTTTTTTAATCAGACATCCTGTGGGACAAACAGCACCCAATCGCTCTCGCCTCTATTAGCTTATGAGCTATAATTACAAAAACACTATCACTCAGAGGAATAGCATTTGGATAGTAAGAGCTTGAGCTAGACTTGTTTTGAACCCACATTTAAATTCAAACAAACCCAGGACCAGTTTGTCCTGGGTAAGGTTTTTTCACTGAAGCCTTGCTATAATTGATATGAGGAGACCTGTGCTTTCCACTGCTGCCAGAAGCAGAAAACTTGTCATTTCTGGAAGAATAACACCAAAACAACATTGTAGCAACACAGGAAACAAGCCCTTTCGGGGAAACTCACTGCCAGGAAGGACAGGGGAGAGACTGCTTAAAAAGCCACTTGCCTGTAATTCTGCCTATTGTGCCGTGGACGTGGTTACCAGCAAAGCCAGCCACATGGGCACCCAGGCTGTACCCAATCAGGTGAACATTCTCAAGCTTGAAGAGGGGGTTTTCCTGCAAGGAAAAGAAAATATGAGAGTTTGATCCCCTCTATTTCATGGCATCTGGTGCTGCTTCTGTCTGCAGGGGTATAAAGTCCAGTTGCAAGAAGGGATTGGCGGGAGGGGGCAGATAAGCACGCTTCGTTTTGTATTTCATCAAGACCAGCGGAACGGTTTGGATGGCACTCGTGGTTTACCCGTGTTCCAGCCTCAATTATGATATTCTTTATCACCAAGAATAAAACTTTCCCCTGGGAGCTGCCAGCAGACTCAGCCCTGGCCATGGCCTCAGGCGCCAAGTGCAGCACCATGGACCTCTCCTCTTTCCCCGCCTGCTGCCAGGCCGGTGCTGGCTCTGAACGCCCACATTGCTCAGGCAGCACTCCCAAATCTGAACTGCACTTCAGCACCACCAACCCGAGCATGCTGCAAGGCAGCACCTCCAGGGAGGCAGGGCAGCAGCACTGCAGCTATGAGCCATCACCTGGCCAAGCCCTGGGCTGGGTTACAGCACAGCCTGCCCTGCTGGTGAGCCTCGGAGCTGGTGAGCGCTCAGCAGCCTTGTGCAACAGTCCCTCACCGAGCATTGCAACAGAGGCTGCTCTTAGCTTGCACTACCTGTAACCAGTCAAGCAACCTCGCTATGGTTTTTCCAACAATCTGCGTGTTGTTCACGGCATCGGTGTAGAGCTGGTGGGCAAGAGAGAGCCAGTCCACCACGACCACGTTGGCATCCTTCTCCCTCTCCTGCAGAGCGGACACCAAGCTGTCAAGCCAGGTTTCGAACATGCCACTCATCTAGAAAGAGATTCAGGTGTCAGTTTCCAGCTTGAGGGACCAAGATGACACATCCACAGTCTAGTTATTTGCATGTCATTTACATTTGCTGCTCCAGCTGCATGCTGCTCCTCTGCAAGCCCCACTACCTCTCAGCAATGCAGTAAGAGCATGCATTCAACGGAGTAAGAAAAACAGGTTTTGAGAGACTCTGGCTGTAATTACCCACTTGCCTTCTAGGGCAGGAGGGAGAGGCATTCGTTACGTGCCACCTTATCGCACTTTTTTCTCAAGAGTTTCAGAAATTCTGATGGATTGCAAAATTATTCGCCAGACCTGGCAGTGTGGTTTGCATAAGTCCTGGCAGAGCTGATAAGCTCCCTTGTGCCACACACTCAGCCTCACCAAATGCAGAGTTAAAAAGCTTGATAAAGTGTGCGTGCCCTCTTGTTTCTTTATCAAGGAGTGCACATAGCAGATGGCAGGACTGGGCACTCAGCTACGATTACAGAAGGGATATACACGTGCCTGTCAAGTCAAGTGTCACATTCATAGTGGTCAGTCAGTTGGATTTTAGTGCCATGTTCACATTATACAGCTAGGAAGTGATCTTGAGCAGTTATGAATGAGTTGGGTGATTTCAGAGTTTCTAAGCCTGACCCCAAACACTTTGCTCCAGAGATCTCAATAGAGGCGCATCTTTTAAGAGACCATTGTGCTCAGAACATGAAAAGTTTTCCCAAATTCCTATATTCATAGAATTCTAAAATGGTTTGGGTAGGAAAGGACCTTAAAGATTATCTAGTTTGAACTCCCCTGCCATGCACAGAGACATCTTCCACTAGACCAGGTGGTTCAAGGTGCCATCCAGCCCTGCCTTGAACACCTTCAGGGATGAGTCAGTCACAGAAATTCCTGAAAATAAATGTTCTGGAGACACAGCACATTTGCAGGGCAGTTTGCCCTCTCCGAGTGGGCAGACTAAGCATTGCCCAGGATTCTTCACACTTACCGTCCAGCCGTGAATGATGAAGAAGGTTTTAGCTGTCACGTTGAACTTGCAGTCCTCCAAGCACTGCTGCTGGCCGATGGCGAGCGCGCAGCCATCCTCACCGGCGTCCGGCGAGGAGCGCAGACCGAACTTCACCCGCGCCTTCTGCGCCGGCACACGCTCCGCGCTGCCATCTGCGAGCCAGCGGGAGAGAAGGGTCAGCAAAGCGCCCCGGAGCCCGCCTGCCCCGCCGGGGGCCGAGCCGGCCCCGCGGCTGCCCCGGTCCCGCGTGGCACCGCGCTCACCCACCTCCAGCCGCGGGCAGCGCCGCCTCCGCGCCCCGCGCCGCGGCGCAGCAGGACACGGCGCTGCACAGCAGGAGGAAGAGCCGCCTCATGGCTCGGGAGCACGGCCGGACGGAGGGCTGGAGCGGCGCAGGGATGAATGGATGGACACACGCTCGGACGGACGCGCGGCGGCGGCGGCGCCGCTTTAACAGTGGCACCAGGGGGCGGGGCCAGCCCGCCGCTCCTATTGGTCACGCCTCCCGTGACGTCACATATGGGATGAATGAGAGGCCACGCCCCGCGTGGGAGGGTCCGCGGGGGTCCCCAGAGCTGGCACCCCGAGGGGCACAGGGGACATGGGGGGGACGGTGGGAGATACAGGGAGTGCCCACAGCTGGAACCCCGAGGGACACAGGGGACATGGGGGGGACGGTGGGAGATACAGGGAGTGCCCAGAGCTGGCACCCCGAGGGACACAGGGGACATGTGAGTGGGATGGTCGGAGATACAGGGAGTCCCCAGAGCTGGCACCCCGAGGGGCACAGGGGACATGGGGGGGACGGTGGGAGATACAGGGAGTGCCCAGAGCTGGCACCCCGAGGGACACAGGGGACATGTCAGGGGGATGGTGGGAGATACAGGGAGTGCCCAGAGCTGGCACCCCGAGGGACACAGGGGACATGCAGCCCCACGTGGGGAACTGAGGGGTGTTTGGGAAATGGGGTTACTTGTGCTGACACCTCATGCTGCGGTCCCACATGCCAGTGGGGTCTCTGCTTTCCATGTCCCCTCGTGGGAACCCCCAAAACTTCACTGCTTGGGCCCTCTGGCATAAGTGCACAGGCACAAGATGCTTCCAGAAGGGCATTGCCCGACCTGCAGCCCACCACCTTCTGCAGTGTCATAAGTCACTTTGAATTCAAAAATTTGCCACTATTACTTGTTTATTTACCAGTTGCTGATGTGTGACAAGTTATCTCACTGTATACTGCTGCTGTCTCACCACACTGTAAGAAGAGATCATGCTCTGGGGACACATGATTTTCCTGCTCTCTTTTTTCATCCACTTCTCCAGCCCTGTGGCTCCTCTTTCTCTCCAAACTCACAGAAGAAAGCAAGGACAAAGCACCAGGGTAAAAGAAAAAGGTGTAGGCCAACGATGGGCAAAGATCAAAGGAGTATAGTGTCCCACCCCTAAGTGAAGGGAGCACCCAGGATTTGTAGATGCTCATGGTCAAAAGGAAAGACAAAAGTCAGAGGATCTGCAAAAACTTAAAAAGTTTTATTAGAAAATTGCACACTTGGCACGGAACTTGGTGTGTTTGTCAAATAAAAAGGAAGGAAGGAAGGAAGGAAGGAAGGAAGGAAGGAAGGAAGGCATCATGCAAAATCATGCAAAGAAATTGCTTTAGCCCTCACCAGTAGACACAAAAGGAGAGAATTAATCTGACTATCTGATTTTCTGGTAGTGCTTTCTCAGGGCACTGAGTTTGTACCCCACATCTCTGTGAGCCTTCCTCAGCCCAGACACCTTCTGACTGTGTGGTTTGTCAGCTGGACTAGATGGTCATTGTAGGTCACTTCCAACTGAAATACTTCTATTCTATTCTATTCTATTCTATTCTTTCCTCATAGCTTTCTTATATGTGACAGGTTGTGAATGGGGACTGCTGCTCCTCTCCTCCTTGGGGATCTCTCCTAGAACCTCTTCATGTCTCACTTTGCAGGATGAAATCATGTTCTGGGATCTCCTCAAGCATACCCTGTTTCCAGAGGCTGGAGATGATGCTCATGTTCCTCAGGGAGCGTGGGATTGAGCAAAATGTCCTGAGGATGTAGCCTCTCCACTGCAGCTGTGTGGTCCCTCTCGAGGAGCAGCATCCTGGCAGCACTGACCTAAAACAGAAAGAACCTAAATTTCTCAGCTGCTGTCCACTACTGGACTTACTCCTGCAGGAAATGATTCAGCCAAGCCTCATCACCAAACGCCTCATCATTTAAAAAATTTCTGGTGCCATCAAACCCCTTCCAGACTGCTGACCACCACGACATTATCGTGGTTTAACCACGAGGTCTTCTCATTCTCCTTCTGTTGTCTTGCTATTGTAAAGCTCCTGCTTTTGTCTGCCAGGCTCTGGGAGGGGAGTCCTGGTCTTTGCCTCTGGCTTCCAAGAATGACAGTAGCAGTGAGAATAGCTTAGCAACAGCAAGGAAAAAGTGCATCAAAATAATTCCTGGCTGCTCCGGCTGAAGGGTGATGATCATCTGGGGAGATGCTCAGGGTCTGTTGTGATGGGCATTGTATCAACTCAGAGAGTGCAGCTCGGCACTGACCTCTCTGTAACCCTCGTGGCCTGGGGGGAAGGAGGCTCCCACCCAGAGCTGCTTGGAAAATAGCAGTTCGTTAAGCCAAGTAATTCTGAGGAAAAATTCCTCGTTTTGATTAGTTTGTCACTGGAAAAGATTTCATGGCTCCCAGATGGAAATTCTGGATATTGTAGAAAGTAATAAATAATAATCCAGGATGAAATTATAGTAATCCACTTTAAAAGACATGGAAGCTCAAGAGTTACAGCACTTGTAGGGATGTTGGAGGCTTTACCTCAGCAGCTGGTGTGAGGGGGCAATGCCCGTGGAGATAGTGGCTGTTCTCGGAGGTGTCTTTCTGGCTCTCTTCCTCTCTCCCTGGCTCCATTCCTACATGATTTCCTAAAGGTCTCAACTCAGTCCAAAAGCAGAAAAGGAATGTTTTTGAAATCATGAGCATTTTCATAGGAAATACAAAAATGTTTTCACTCAGCTGTAGTCACAAGCTCTTT